TAGAATAGAATAGAATAGAATAGAATAGAATAGAATAGAATAGAATAACAGAGTTGGAAAGGATCTTGGAGGTCTTCTATTCCAAATCCCTGCTTAGGCAGGAAACCCTACACCATTTCAGACAAATGGTTACCCAAACACTTTTTAAAAGCTTCCAGTGTTGGAGCATTTACAACTTCTGGAGGCAAGTTATTCCACTGATTAATTGTTCTGTCAGGAAATTTGAGGGGCTCCTACAAAAATGAGGGAGTCAATCTATTTTCCAAAGCACCAAAAGTCACAACAAGAAACAATGGATGGAATCTTACCAAAGAGAGAAGCAACCTAGGACTAAGGAGAAATTTCCTAAGGGTGAGACCAATCAACCAATGGAATAGCTTGTCTTCAAAAGTTGTGGGTGCTCCATCACTAAAGGCTTTCAAAAAGAGTGAGGGAAGTATATCCCAAAAGGACAGTGCCAGGAACCACTAAAACAATGCAGAAAACTTAAAACAGCCATTCCCCCTTTTAAAAAAAGTGAACCCCAAAGCAAATGCAGCAGCTGAGAAGGAAGCTAAGAGCAGCCACTCATGCTAATTGAAAGCCTGGGCATGCTGCCAAAAGCCATTAACCCTTCCAACTCCATTATTCTATGTTCTCTATGTTCTAAATTCGGTGCTTCACAGCAGAAACAATACAGCTGGTTGGACCACACATGCATTTAAATTCATGGTCTGTATGACCAAGCTGCATCATTGTCCCCTCCTGTATCTTTTCCCCCAGGAAGAAACAAGAAGTACCCAACACTGCAGCAGCTATAAAAGGTCATGGGGAACTCCAGGGCATATCAGCTGATCACAGAAGTGTTACTTAATACTCTTTATAATGAAAATGTTTGTAATCTTGTTCTTCTTCCTGAAGGGAAGAGGTTAATCCCATCCCTAGATGGGTGATTGGTGGGTTTTCCTGCCCTAATTCTGTCAGTTTCTGTTGTTTATTGACTTGATTCAGCTCCAGCTGCAACTGTTAAGTGGTTCTTGTCTGTCTGCCTGGAGATATTAATGAAGGGAGATAGAGGGGGTGGGGGGGAACTCTTGCACTTTATTTTTAGCCGGTTCTCCGAACTGCAGAAGTAATTAACTAACGGTTTGGGTGAACCAGTGAGAACTGGCTGAATACCACCACTGCTTCCAGATAAAGACATGGTATTTCCAGGACTGGCACCGGGTTGTCGTCCTTCTGCCATCAGAGATTTGAGACTACAAGCTCTTTCAAAAGATCTTTGGATGAATCTTTGGAACCATAACTGGAGAAATGTCATTTCAAAATAATGGGTGGTCCTGAATGGATCTTCTGGCAATCTGGTTTAAAAACACACAACTATCCCTCTCAAGCAACTTCTTGAACACTTGTGGCTGGTCTGAGTTGTTGAAAGCTGTTCTGCTTTGGGAGGAACAAAGACGAGATCTTGCAGTCTTAAACTGTAACAGTGCCATCTTCTGGAAGATTCCATTGTCATTTCTTTCTAGGAGGTGGGATCAATCCATGGGTCAAGAAAACTGACATTTCCATCCCCGCAACAGGGGAAATTGATCTGAATATTCCACCAAACTGCTCTCTTCAAGATACATTAGAACAAGGGTCTTCAAACTTGCAAAGTTTAAGACTTGTGGACTTCAACTCCCAGAATTCCTGAGCTAACATGACTGGAGGAGGAATTCTGGGAGTTGATTTCCACAAGTCTTAAATCTGTCAAGTTTGAAGATCCCTGCTTAGAATGAAAGCTTATCTTTCTACATTTTCCAGTCCCCTTGAGCAAATCAATCCAACTGCTAGCCAGTAGATAAACAAGAACTGAACAAAACCCTGACCTTTGATTACCTTGTGTAGCGTAGCCACAAACACCCCAATGTTCAAAGTTGAATCTTTTTTTGTCAACTCACCTGTAACAATTTTGTATGGTAGCTTTTAGCTTATATAATTGGAGGAAAAGATGATGTTGACAAAATGGATAATTTTTAAGCAACTATCAGCTGGGGAGGAAGAGAGGAAGGAAGGAAAGAAGGAAGAGACAGGAAGGAGGGAAAAAGAGAGGAAAGAAGGAAGGAAGGAGGAAAGAGAAAAAATAAAGAAAGAGTAATGGAAGGAGGGAGGGAAGATGGGAGGGATGGAAGGAGGGAGCATGGGAGGGAAGGAGAAAGAGAGGAAGGAAGGAGAGAAAGGGAGGGAGAAAGAGAGGAAGAAAAGAGAGAGAAATGAAGGGAGGGAGGGAAGGAGGGAGAGAAGGAAGGAAGGATTTAGTCTTCCCTGGTTTGTCATTTGTTTACTATTTATCTGTGGTTTGTCAGTGTGTGTATTGTGGGTTTATGTTCTTTCTGTTGGTTGCTTTCCTAAGCCACCCAGCCACGTCTCTAGTGATTCACTTTACAACTGGGGCAACAAAAGGTTGTAAAATGGGGCAAAACTTCACTTAACATATGTCTCACTTAGCAACAGAAGTGTTGGGCTCAATTGTGGCCATACGTTGAGGACTACCTGCATACAATTTTAAAATAACACTTTGCCATTGAAAGTGGCTAAAAGCATTGACCTCCTAAGTTTCTTTTTTGGTGGTAGGATGGGATGGAGAGAAAACCCAGACTTATTCTTGGAAAGATCATGAATCCGTCAAGGATTGGGAACATTAGTCTCATTTTCAAGAGGAAATTAGAGTTCTCATTTTTTTTTTCTTCCTTCCTTTCTCCTGCCCTCTCTCTCAATTCCATCTATTCTCAGGTTTTCATTGCTGCCCTGGCATTTTCATACTTTAGTAAAGCATTTGGTGGGACCACGATGAAAAGTTCCTTCACGCAACTGGAAAGGAGATTTGGCATTGCTTCTTCTACTGCTGGCTTCATTGATGGAGGCTTTGAAATGGGTAGGTGGAAACTGAAACCAGGAAGAGGTTTAGCTGTGGATGGAGAGCTTGAGGTCATAGGTATTACATTGTTGGAAGAAATATCCTTCTGGGTTCAGTTCCAGGTGGGGGAAAAGAAACACTGGAAACATGGAGGCTGTTTGGAAAGATGGTTTAATGGTGGACAGGATCACATGCCTGGGAGCTCCTGGGTAGAAAAAAAAGGGCTGATATGCTGAGAATCCCTTGGTTTTTTTCAAATCCCTCTGTTGGGATTTGAATTTGAGTTTGTGTTCTGATTGGTCGTCAGACTCCCATGGGGCCATGGAGGGGCAACTCTGTAGGCTGTCCTGAGCCCCAGGCTTGGTTGAGCCTTGCTGGATGATGATGCAATGAAAGAGCTTTGGGCAATTCCTATTATGGCTCTACCTGAAGTAGATCTTTGTTATGTAAAATAGACTGACCCTGGCCTTAATGGCCCATTAACAAAGGTTGGGAGGGGGCTGAGTTTCTGCCTCTCTGAGTTTCCACTTCTCTTTTAGGGGAAATATTTTGCCTTTTTAGTATATCCTAAAACATTTCATTCTCCTAGGAGAGAGGTGGTTTTTAACTTCCAACAACATTATTGACCTCTGTTCTCTGGATTGGGAAAAAAGGCTCTAAAATGGATTGGTATCCAGGGGCTCAAGGACTACCTTGGTCTTAATCCATCACAAGATTTTGACAGCTAGAATTCAACGTCATTCAGCAATTGTCATGCCCTAGTTTATTTGTTTAGCATATACATTTAGTGTATAAGTTTCGTATAAATGTATATGTTTAGCGTAAGGCCTTGGTAAGACCACACTTGGAATACTGCATTCCAGTTTTGGTAGCCATGATATGAAAAAGATGTTGAGACTCTTTCTAGAGTGCAGAGAAGAGTAACGAAGATGATTAGGGGACTGAAGGTTATAACTTATGAAGAATGGTTGCAGGATTTGGGTTTGGCTAGTCTAGAGAAAAGAAGGACTAGAGGTGACATGACAGCAGTCTTCCAGGATTTGAGGGACTGCCACAAAGAGGAGGGGGTCAATTTATTCTCCAAAGCACCTGAAGGCAGGACAAGAAGCAATGGATGGAAACTAATCGAGGGGAGAACCAATCAAGAAATAAGGAAAAAATTCCTGACAGAACAATTAATCAATGGAATCAAGGAGAGAAGCAACCTTGAACTAAGGAGAAATTTCCTCATGGTAAGAAGAATTAAGCAATGGAAGGGCTTGCCTCGAGAAGTTTGGGGTGCTCTACCACTGGAGGTTTTAAGAAGAGATTGGACAGCCATTTGTCTGAAGTGCGCAATCCTCCTTGAGCAGGGGATTGGACTAGAAGACCTCCAAGGTCCCTTCCAACTCTGTCATTCTGTTATTCTGCATGGCATCATGACCTAATGGAGAGCTTCTATATTATCTTCCCAGGAAATTTGTTGGTGATTACCTTTGTGAGTTACTTCGGGGCAAGATGTCATCGGCCAAAGATCATCGCCATTGGTTGCTTTATCATGTCTTTGGGGTGCTTTTTAATGGCATTGCCTCATTTCTTCATGGGATAGTAAGTATGAGAGACCGAGAGTGAGAGAAAATGAGATCTTTTTCAATTCCTTTCATAGATTATCTTTACTGTTGATAAAATATCCACGTGGGATCTATAAGAAACTCTACCAGTTATGGGAGCGAATCATTTAGATTTGTCTCATCTAGGGAGGATGACTTTAGCCCGGGGGTCCCCAAACTATGCTGGCTGAGGAATTCTGGGAATTGAAGTCAACAAGTCTTAAAGTTGCCAAGTTTGGAGACCTCTGCTTTAGCGGAACCCCACTAAGCACAACTGTCCCGCACCGATGCCAAACCAGTAGTCATATAGCATTCTTGACTGTAAATCCAAGTTGACAAAATAGAATTACTCTGAGCCTCATTATCCAGCAGAAATGGAATGGAATGCATGGATGGCTTTGGGGGTCAAGGGAAAGAAGTTTTGTCTAAGAAGCAGAAGGAGACTACTCACCAGGGCCAACTCACCTGGGTCAACCCTACCACAGGACAAGTCAACAATTCAACAATTCAATTTAATTACTTAAAATAATTTTTAAAAAATGTTTTAATTTTTGTCATTCACATTTCTCTCTCTCTCTCTCTCTCTCTCTCTCTCTCTCTCTCTCTCTCTCTTTTCAAGGTTTGTTTAATGATTCTACTCCACCATTTCTTTGATATTAGTGTAACTTTTGTCCTGCAGTGAGTTGTCCCAGGGCAAATTGGCCATGGGACAACTTACCGTAATGAGTTGGCTGAAGCAAATTGACTATGTATCAACTCATAAAATATTTCTATGGTCTTTTTAGAGTTACCCACAGAAAGGGAGGGGGAGCAGTGGGCAGCTTGCATTCCATAAATGTTTTCAAAGATAGTAACTAGATGACTGAAGTTTCTGCCGTGCAAAATTCTAACTGGAGAGTACGATTGATGACTTGGCTATGGATGTGTCCCATTGGAGAATAGGAATTATGATACACCCAGGGGGTGGAGGAAAACCCAGGTCAAGGGTGACTATGAATGATGTGTCTTAGAGTCAGCTACACCCAGGCAGTGCCAGGATGTTTACTCCTAATAAATCTTCTTTAAGTTTTGGAAGTTTGGCTCGAGACTCATGATCTAAATGGGGGTAACTGCCGGAGCCCTGACACTGTTGTGGGTTGGCTGCAGCTAATTGTCCTAAGAGGCAAGAGAGGGAGAAAACTTCAATGATCAATGGTCAGAGAAAGAAACTTAGGAAGAACCTGCTATAGTAAAGAGGGGGTTAAAAGTGGTAGTGGGAAGTGTGTACATTAAGACTTGCAAGATTGATATTGATAAGTTTCTCACTCTGTATATTTATAGACACTTCTTAAGTAACATCTACAACTATAAAATGGTCAAAACAATATAATATTATAAAATAAACCACAACTAACCATGATATTCATATTAACAGTAAACTATATATATATACTAATACTAAATAAAAATACTAAATATGTCTTATTTTTTTCAGCCAGAGAAAGGGTACCTCTAAACAGGGGTGGACTTCAAAAATTTCAGCAATGGGTTCTCTGCCCGGTTGCTGGGTGCATGTGACCATGGTGGGTGTTGCCTAGTCGGCCTTCTGCATCACAGCGAGAGGGCCGTTTTCACTTCCCCAGGCTCTGGAGGCTTTCCTCGAACCTCCGGGAAAGCAAAAATGGCCTCTCCTGGCTCCGGAGGCCCTCTGAAGGCCAGAAACGGGCTCATTTTCAGACTTCCAAGACTTCTGGGAGGCCCATTTTTCCCCCTTCCTGAGCCTCCACACAGGCCCTGAACTTATCTCGGCATCCAAAATGGGCCACGTGGAGACTCCTGGGAGGGGAGGGGTGGCCAGGGCCAGCTGGGGTGGGATTTGGCAGTTCACTGAATCAACCATAACGTTTCAAGATGTCCACCTGAACCTGAGCCAACTCACCCCTGCCTCTAAATGTATTTGTGCGCACACTAGGATTAACCTCTTTCTTTTCCAGTTATCAGTATGACACAATATCCTTCACACCAAACAACATCTCCAGTTTCTCCCCCTGCATATTAAATCCCCAGGATACGCCCAAGATAAAAGAGTCAGGTAAGAATAATCAATTGTTCTGACCTGTCTTTTGAATAGCTGGTATAAAGTTGCCAGCAAATCAAAATGTTATATGCTAATTCTTTACTTTGCTGCAACATATTATGTATCTTACCCAAAATTATAATTTAATGTTTTCATACTCATATGTCATCTTTGCTCAGGCCACTGAGTGGGCATAGTGATGCCAGACCATTAGAAGTTTCCTTCAGATAATACCATTAGGTGGTGATGGTGACATCACTCCATGAGAGGTAAACGGGAGCAGTTAGACATGGGGTTTCTTCATGGAGCAGGACGTGATCTTTAGAGATAGTATTGATTGAAGCATAATCAACAAATCTGCTCCAAAATGATCGATGTAGGTTATTCAACAGAATGATTCTCTTAATTTTGCCTATTTTGGTGACCCTAATCTTTTATTTACTTAGCTAATTGTGGCTTGTCATCAGAGGATATCAGTCTCTTGCGTTAAACAAAGAAATATATCATGGATTTTTAAAATCAAAGATACATATGAGAACCAGAAAAATGGACTCCATTACAGTACACCACTGCACTGTCAATTGTCAATCTGCCTTTGAAAGTTGAGTACACAAAGTGGAAAGTTCCTTTTAAGAACGAGCTTACATTAGAAAATATAGGGGTAGTGGTGGAAACTATGCTCAAATCTATAGAAAAGGTAGTGGAACATGACCCAACTAAAGTAACAGTATAGCTGACTGGATTTATCCTGATTTGAGTATCATTATTTGGATGCACCCGACTATGGAAACATCCAGGAAATAGCACTGTAGTGTCACTGCTTCTGGTACTGCTTAATACTACAGAATATCTTTTGATGGTTAGGCACTATGGTGATAATAGATTAGATTAGATTGGCCTGTTTCCCCAAAAATATGACCTACCCTGAAAGTAAGTCCTAGCTTGATTTTTACATGTGCACCCAATATAAGCCCTACCCCCCAAAAAATAAGCCCTAATTAAGATCCCACCCATCCAGAGTGCATGGGTAAAAATTAAGCTAGGGTGGGGGTGGCGGGTGGGGCTGACATACCTTGGACCTCTGGGGCTGACATACCTTGGTAGCCAGACCTCACATACCCCGACACCTCCCTTGCTGGACCATTTCTTCTGCAGCCAGCAAAGATGGCTTTCCTGAAGGCCTCTGTAGCTGATAACAAAGCTCTGGATCAGTCCAGAGCTCTTTTTATCGGCTGCAGAGGCCTTCAGGAAAGACTTGATAGCTGCAGAAGAAGAAGTTCCTGAAGGCATCTGACAGCAAAAAGGAAGCCAGGGGCAACACGCACAAATGAGGTTGGTCAGTGGATGACATCCCCCCAAAATAAGACCTGGTGCCTTTTTGGTGGCAAAAAAAATATAAGACAGGGTCTTATTTTGGGTGAAACTCAGTATAATAGATTTATTTGGTCAAGTGTGATTAGACACACAAGAATTTGTCTCCAGTGCATAAGCTCTTAGTGTACATACAAACCAACAAAATAATCATAATCATTAATAATGATACCAATAACAGAAGGTAGTAGGAAAGATTAGAAGGATAATAGAACTGTGAAATTAGGGGTTCAGGAGAGTGATGACATGAGGAGAAAATTTGTGTCTTCTTGTTTATAGCAACTATAGCAACTATAACTATATGTTTATAGCCCTATAGCAACATCCTGAAGGTAGGATGTGAAGGGGTCTGTAGATATTTTCCCAGCCCTCTTTTTGGCTTCTGCAATATACCGGTCCTCAGTGAAAAGCAGGCTGGTTGCCATTGTTTTTCCTGCAGTCCTAACTATCCGTTGAAATCTGTACCTGTCCTGTTTGGCTGCTGTACCAAACCAGACAGTTATACAAATACAAATGATAGAGTCATACATTATTGCTAGTCATATATTATCGTAAGCACATTTTTATTCTATTATACCTCCGTCTATGGTTTCACCAAACTTATTATTTTGCACTCTGGACTCTAGCGGTATGACAATTTGTGTTTTTTTAGCAAAAGATATGATGCACGTAATGACTTTTCCTGCCATTATTGTTATTCTTTGCAGACTGTGCCCATAAAATTGTTACATCTTACGCATGGATTTTCGTCTTGCTGGGGAATATGCTACGTGGAATTGGAGAAACCCCAATTACTCCCCTGGGCATATCGTACCTCGATGATTTTTCTAAAGAAGAAGATGTTCCTCTATATATCAGTAATGACCAAAATGCTTGTCTGTCAAATCCTGATCTGAACTTAATGATACTGAAGAGATAGGCAATGTTCAAGCTGGGATAGTTCCAATTGGTTTTCCTACTTCTCGGCAAGTTGGGAAAATTCCTAAATTGTCAAATACCAAATTTAGGTCACAGCAAATTCTATTCATTATTGGATGTAGTAGAAATTGGCATTCATAAATCACATTCCCATGAAAAGCTGAAGGAAAAAAAGCCAAGACAGTCCTAGGCTGCATTAATAGAGGGATAGAATCAAGATCATGTGAAGTGTTAGTACCACATTATAAGACCTTGGTAAGGCCACACTTGGAATACTGCATCCAGTTTTGGTCACCGTGATATAAAAAAGGATGTTGAGATTCCAGAAAAACTGAAGAAAAGAGCAATAAAGATGATTACAGGACTGAAGGCTAAAACATATAAAGAATGACTGGGTATGTCTAGTATAATTATAGCAAGGTTCCAACATTAAAGGGGCTATCACAAAGAAGAGGGGGTCAAGCTATTCTCCAAAGCACCTGAGGGCAGGACAAGAAGCAATGGGTGGAAACTAATCAAGGAGAGAAGCAACTTAGAACTAAGGAGAAATTTCCTGACCGTTACAACAATTAATCAATAGGACATCTTGCCTCCAGAAGTTGGAGGTTTTTAAGAAGAGATTGGACAGCCATTTGTCTGAAATGGTATAGGGTTTCCTTTCCTGCTTGAGCAGGGGGTTGGACTAGAAGACCTCCAAAGTCCCTTCCAGGGCTATGAACACATGCCTCTTTGTTAGCTGAGCTGTGAAGACATCGTACAGTATTGGATATGAAGCAAAGATGCTCTCCAGCTAATACATCTCTAGATCAGAGATCTCCAAACTTGGCAATTTTAAGACTTGTGGACTTCAACTCCCAGAATTCTTCAACCAGCCATTGTGGTTGGGGAATTCTGAGAGCTGAAGACCACAAGTCTTTAAAGTTGCCAAGTTTGGAGACTCCTGCTCTAGATGAAGGCTTTCTTGCAATTCTACTGATAACAGATTTTCCACTGTCTTTTCCCAGGATATTGTTTCAAATTCTTGGGCAGTCTCCCATCCAACTACCAACCACAGCCAACCCTGCTTAGCTTCTGAGATAGGTACAGGTCTATCTCTTCTAAGAACATCAGCACTGGTCTTTAGCTTCAGAATGGTATTGCTGATCTTATGAGAGGGAGGAACAACGTACTCAATGTATATCTTTGCAGCTTCCTTATCCATTGCATCAAATATTAGAAGTCTGGTTTGGACTAAACAAAACAGTGAAGAATATACATAACATAAGCTGATTTTTTTCTCCTTCATGATTGCAGGCTTTTTGCACACCTCAGCCATGCTTGGCCCAATATCTGGTTTCCTCCTGGGATCTGTGTTTGCCAGACTCTACGTGGATGTTGGTTTTGTGGACATGGGTAAGATGGAAGAAGAACTGACCAGCTAAGTTGGCTACCCTAAGTTAACCGGAGCTGTAAATGCAGAGTTACTGTATTTGAGAAAGAATACAGTGGAACCAGAAAGGGTAAAACTAAAAGCAAACAGAATTCTTAGTGAGGCAGAATAGTCCCGTTCTAAATGGGAAAAAGAAATATCAGAACCATTGAAAAAAAGGAGCTCAAAGGAAGGTCAGTAAAACCAAGACCAATTTTTTTTCTCTCCTTCTTTCACAATCTTAGTATTCAGGATCACAACTGAACCCAAATGCTGATAGATCCAGGACCAATGAGAGGAAACAATGGTTTCTCCAATGGATAGCAAAATTATGGAATTCGATGCCACCAGTTGTGAGGATGGCAGTCAATTTAGGGGGCTTTAAAAATGGACTGGACAACTTTATTTATTAAACTTCAATAGCCGTCCTTCTCAAGCCAGTGACTTACAGAGATGAGCAGCTACCAATGGTTGCCAATCTTAATGTTAGGATTCCATCTCCTGAATTTGTGGTGGTGAGGATTCAGTCTCAGTAGAAGTGGGATATTAGGTGGGTAGGCAAATCACTATCTTAACTTTCCCAGAACATAGAATAATACAGTTGGAAGGGAACCTGGAGGTCTTCAACTTCTACTCAAACAGGGGACCCTATACCATTTCAGGCAAATAGTTGTCCAACCTCTTTTTGAAAGCCTCCAATGATGGACCACCCACAACTTCTGAAGGCAAGCTATCCTACCTTGTACTGTCCCATCCCACCCCACCCAACCCCATCCCATCCCATCCTACCCTATCCTATTTTGAGATCCTATCTCAAAAGATTTGCCCACTTTCTGTCATCTAAAAGTTTCATTCTCTCTTGCAGTTGCTTATGCCTGAAACTCATTTTCATGACATCTTGTCTAAGCCCTTCATGTTCAGTTCTCTGAGGACACATCCTTGCCTTGTTCACTTCACTCCCCTTCCCCTCAAACTTTGAAGAGCCTTTTCCATGCTGATATTCACCCTGTACATTTATGAAAGCAAAAATCTGTATTGTTGTTTGTTATTCTGTGAAATGCACACAGACTTGACAAAGCTACATGAGACCAATGTTCCAGATAATGGAACTCAGCTTTCTCCATTCCTTATTCTAGATACAATAACTATCAGTCCAACTGATTCGCGTTGGGTTGGTGCATGGTGGATGAACTTTTTAGTTGCTGGGGTCATCATTCTGATTTCCGGAATCCCTTTCTTGTTCCTGCCTAAAAGTCTGGACAAAAAGGAGGATGCCTGTATCCAGAAAAACCTGGATCCCATGGAAAGCAGCAATGAAAATAGCCATGGACAGAAGCCTGATATTCAAGGTGGAATGGCAAACTCTGGACAATTAAAAGGTAAACATTGAAATTTTTCAGTTTAGCTGTGGAAAGACTCCACCAGGGTCAAGATCTGGATTCTAGGAGAACTGACTATATGGCTGGGTCAAAGTTAGATAAGGACTCTTTTCCACAAGAAGGATAAGGAAATTGATAGGTTTCAAGATCTGTTGTAAGGGGAGAAGAGAAGATCAAGAAGGGGAGAAGGAGGGTGAAAGGCAAAAGGAGAAGGACTGAGATATGGGAATCAAAACATTAGACACAGTCTTAGAGCCACATCCCTAGCAACCACATGTCCTAGTCTTGTTGTTTCAGATCTTAAAACAGAGTTTCTTCCACCACCACTCAGGCCATAGGGACACTGGCAACTCTATGTAAACTTCCATAGTGCAGAAAGTCACAGATAGAGAAATACTATGCATAGGCAAGTCTACACAGGAGCACCCTGACATTGGATATCAGGTTTGTGGACAGTGGTGCTCAGAAAGAAGCTGAGAATTTCCTATACAGGTTGTTCTCTACTTACAACCATTTGTTAGTGACCATTCAAAGTTACCATGGCACTGAAAAAAGTGACTTATTTGTCACCATTGCAACCTTTGGTCGTGTGATCAAAATTCAGATGCTTGGCAAATGGTTCAAATTTATGACTGCTGTAGTGTTCTGGTCATGTGATGACTTTTTGCGACCTTCTGATGTGCATAGTCAATGTGGAAACCAGGTTCCCTTAACAAATGTGTCCCTTATTTAACAACTGCAGTGATTCATTGAACCGCTCTGGCAAGAAAGATCATAAAATGGGGCAAAACTCATTTAACAAGTGTCTCACTTAGAGACAGAAATTTGAGGCTCAATTGTGGTCGTTACGTCAAGGACCACCTGTAAATAAAGTCCTTGTCAGCATTCCAGAAAACCTCCACTCCAACCAATAACTCCGAGACAGGCATCTTCTCCAAAGTTACTTTTATTTGGACAGTTAAACTGGCACAACTGGGGAATCCCGAATCTGAAAGTTCCAGGCTTTCTTGCAATAAGTAAAAACTACAAATCCACCCCCTGCACCCATCATCGCATCACATGCCCCAGTCACCATCCGTTCCAACTTGAGACTTCCACTCACTTATGCGCGAAATAACATGACCTTGAATTAGAAAAAGAATGTTATTAGGTCTAACTACATACACTCCAAGAAATTCCCGCCTCCCATTTTCCCAGGCTCAAAATGTGGCAGTGTAGGAGCATCTGGTCTCAATATGGCTTCCAAAGCTGACAGTCCTACTGTAATGGCATGTTGGAAGGGTCTTGGGAGACAAGACAAAGAGACAAAGAGATGCTGCCAAGGGAACAATTAGATAAGAGACAGGATAACTTGCAGTCGGTTGGTAAATTGGGCAAGAGGCTCATAGGAAAACTCTCCCTAGTTTCTTAGGCTGTGAAGGAGATGGAGGGGAAGGACCAGAGGTGGTATTTATTTATTTGATTTGTCAATTGCTTACAAGATAATAGGTATAAGTATATACATAGTTATGAATACATGAAATGGGTACATATAAGAAAAATAAAAGAAACAATAGGACAAGGACGGTAGGCATGTTGGTGCGCTTATGCACGCCCCCTACAGACCTCTTAGGAAAGGAGTGAGGTCAATAGTAGACAGTCTAAGGTTAAAATTTTTGGGGTTTGGGGAAGAAACCACAGAGTCAGGTAGAGTATTCCAGACATTGACCACTCTGTTGCTGAAGTCGTATTTCCTGCAATCAAGTTTGGTGCGGTTAACCTTGAGTTTGTATCTATTGTGTGCTCTTGTGTTGTTATGGTTGAAGCTGAAGTATTCATTGACAGGTAAGTCATTGCAATGTATGATTTTATATACCATACTTAGATCAGACCGAAGATGGCGTAATTCAAGGTTTTCTAGGTCTAGAATTTCAAGTCTGGTGGCATAAGGTATTCTACAACGAGTAGAGGAGTGGAGAACTCTTCTTGTGAAATATTTCTGGACTTTCTCAACTGTGCTAATATCAGATACGTAATGTGGGTTCCAAACTGATGAGCTGTATTTGAGTATTGATCTAGCAAATGTTTTGTATGCTCTAGACAGTAGTGTGATATTACCAGAGAAAAAGCTGCGTAGGATTAGGTTAACAACTCTTAATGCCTTTTTGGCTATGTAGTTACAGTGGGCTCTAGCACTTAGATCATTACAGATGAGTATTCCAAGGTCCTTTACAGAGCTTGGATCATCAACAAGGTCTTGACTATTCAGCTTGTATTTTATTTCCTGATATATTTTTTTTGCCAATATGTAAAACAGAGCATTTATTTGTTGAGATTTGAAGTTGCCATTTGTTTGACCATTCTAATACATAGTCAAGATCTTTTTGAAGAGTAGCAATATTGTCTGTGGTATTGAACAGCTTTACATCATCAGCGAAGAGAACGCAGTTGCTCTTAATATGATCACAGAGGTCATTTATGTAGAGTATGAAGAGAGTTGGTCCTAGAACACTGCCTTGGGGGACACCACTATTGACAGGTACAGATTTTGATAGGACACTCTCAATTTTTACCATTTGTTGTCTGTTTGACAGGAATGCTTCTATCCAGTTATGCAGTTGTCCAGACCATAAGATTTTAGTTTTAGGAGTAGTTTGTCGTGTACCACTGAATCAAAGGCATTACAGAAGTCTGTGTAGATTGTGTCTATTGTTTTGCCCTGATCGAGTTGTGTAGTCCATATGTTTTTGCAGTGTAAAAGTTGTAGATTACAGGATAGTTTTTTTCTGAAACCAAATTGTTTATTGGAGAGTAGGTTGTTTGTTTCTAAGTGGAGGATAATGGATTGGTTAATAATTAATTCCATGACTTTACAGGTGACGCAGCATATGGAGATTGGTCTGTAATTTTCAACTAGGCTGGGGTCTCCCTTTTTGAAGATGGGGATGACCGTGGCTTGTGACCATAGGTTGGGCAAGGAGCTGGTCCTGAAAGATTTTTCAAAGATTATGCTTAGAGGTTCTGCTGTGGCAGTGGATAG